TGGTTCCACAAATGGATCATGTCCACCTATGTTTCTTCTCAAGCTTGCAGACTCCTTGGCAGTAGCATTGTTGTCAACCTCTGGTTTGCACACTACATGTGACATGAGGAAGCATGCCACACTTTGGGGGGGAAGTGGGAACCAGCGCCTACGAGGCAGGGAGGAAGCCCCACACTTGCCAAGTAGGTACCACCGCTGCTGCTCCTGCTCCCGGTTGGGCTGAAATTAGAAGCCAGGCAGATTTTCACAGTGGGTGGGTGTGTCGCGCTTGCGGGTAGGTGTGTTGTGCTTGTGCACATGCGCGCATGCTTGACATGCCCCTCCACAAGCACAACACACCCATCCACGAGCGAAACACACCCATCCATGAGCATGACACGGCCCTCTGTGAGTGCGACACGCCCACCCATGAGCGCGATGGTGCCCACGCCCCCCCAAATGGTCCACGGTCCCAAAAAGGTTGGTACCACTGCTTTAGACCAGTGGTCCCCAACCTTTTCCAAACTGCGGATTGGTTGGGCGGGGCAGGGTCCATGTGCGGGGGGCAGGGCACCCCTGCGCTCGTGCATGGTTGGGGCTTATGCATGCAAGGGTGGGCAGGGAATGCTCATGGGTGGCTGGGGCGCACACATGCGTGGGTGGCTGGGGGACCCTGTACGTGCGGGTGGGCATGCATGGGGGAGTGCGTGTGGGGAGCGGGAGATCTCTCTCTGCAGCCTAGTCCTGCCAAGGCCACGCCCCAGTATCGGGCCGCAGACTGGGGATTGGGGACCCCTGGTTTAAACCACACATTCTCAATGGGGGCCATATGACCCCTTGGGGGGCCCTGACATGTTTGAAGGAGGCCACGGACTGGAAACAATTCTTCACACACTACCATATAAAGTTAATTATGTGACTTAAACAATTCTGTTTCTGCATATATTTCTTTCATAATTTTATTTATAGCCATGGGCGAAAAAGGTTGAGAATGGCTGCTTTAGACACACCAATAACAGTTATTCTCAATATGCTGCTGTATTTTTAAATTATTGTTTGTTTGTTTATTTTATAGTTACTTTAACTATAAAACCTAACCAATGTGTTACAATTCTCAGCTGCTAATAGAATTCTTATTTTTGTAATGCTGCGATTTTTCAGCCCCCAAAAAGGTGAATTTTTTGTTTCCATCAGGATGGAATTGGTGGGATATATAAGAAGTGTACTCTTGAGGAACAGTGATCAAAATCATGTTGGTGTAAATTAAGCTGGCAGAAGCTGATGATGTCATCAGTTGGGGCTGGTAAAAATTAAATTGATTAAAACTTTGTACAGGTCCTTTAGGTTTTGAGGCAACCTTGGGTTTCCTTTTGGCCTGGGAAAGCCTTTGGGGCCATCAGAATTAGAGGGGGAAGCCTTTAATAGCCAAAAATCATCACTGGATCCTAGCAGTGGTAATCTGGTCGCAAATTTTATTGATTAAAGGCTCCGCATCCCAAGGCTTACCCAGGGCAAAAGGGGCACCCTTTTAGTTACTTTTAGATTTTATCAGAGCTAGTTGATGACACCAACAGCTTCCACCAGCATAAATTTACACAATGCAGTTTTGCACTGTGATATCTAAATTTTTAGCCAGCTCTTACATATGGACGAGAGAAGTTGGTTGATAATGTTATATATCATGTATGGTTAAAATGAAAGGAAGTGGAGATGCTCCATGATAGAAAATGGCAGAAATATTGTTTAAACAGCTATTTTGTGTAAGGTTGATGACATCATCCCATCATCAGCTGCGATAATTTTTTGGAAATACCCCTCTCAAAGAGTGTCTCTTTTTTAAAAAATTCTTGCTGTGGATTTAATAATGACAAGATTCTCCCTAATGCTTCTGACTTTATTCTGCAATTGAGTAATTTCTTCCTATTTCTTTTCAAAGGCTCCAGTCCTATTTCGTCCTTGTTCTGCTAGCTGCCTATGATTCAAAGACATAACTAGTACAGTGGTGCCTCGCTTAGCGATTGCCTAGTTTAACGATGTATTCGCTTAGCAATGAGGTTTTTGGAGTGATCTTGCACTCCGTTTAGTGATGTTTCCAATGTGGAAATTTCGCATAGCGATGTTCGGGACCTTGCTTCGCTTAGCGATGACAGTTTAGGTCCCCCTGTTTCGCTTAGCATTGTTTTTGACAGCTCTGTTTTCGCTATTTTTAAAAGGTGTTAAATTGTTTAAAAGGGGTTTAGAGTGCATGAAATCGTTAGTGCACTTAATAAACCCTTTGTTAACCAGACATGGCTTAATTCTGACTCTTTTTGAATTTTTGGTGATTTTTTTCTCCCCCATTGAAATGCATTGAAAAGGTTTCAATGCATTCCAATGGGGGAACCGTGTTTCGCTTAGCGATGTTTCTTATGGCGATTTTCGCTTAAGGACGGTAATCCGTTCCCATTGGAATGGATTACAGTGGTGCCTCGCTTAACGGGCGCCCCGTTTAACGACAAATCCGCATATTTGGGCTCTCCCACCGTCCTTCTCAAGCTCCCGCCGGTCAGCTGGGGGAAAATGCAGGTGGGAGCTTAAGAAAGACCACGGGGGAGCTCTCTTCCTCTGAGGAGGCGGCGGTGGCCGCTCATCTGAAGGCCGGCAGCGAGCGGCGCTTCGGCCGGCTCTCTCCTCCCGGGCCGTGCAGGGGGAAGAGGGAAGAGAAAGAGCCCCGGGCCGGGCGCCTGGCTCTGCCTCCCCCTTCACCTCCTCCTCTTCTTCAAGCTGGCACCCGGCCGGCTTTTGGCTTGTTACTTCCCGGGGCCGTGCAGGG